TGTTATCTCATTTAGATGCAAATGAAATATGTTATATGATTGATCATAATTACAGTGAATTATACTTAAACATATTATTGTTGACTGATTTATAGGCCCATATTTCAATATAAATTCACTGGTTGCATTTTTCCTTATGTCAAATAACCATACTGCTTATATAGTAAGTAAATATTTATAAAGGTTGCTAACAATAGAGTAGGAGTAATATATAACACCATGTGCTGTTTCTGCCATTCTCAGATATCAATTCTAAAGTACATATAACTTTTTTAAAAAAATTTTAAAAATATATTTTATTGATTTTGTACAGAGAGGGAGAGAGATAGAGAGTTAGAAACATCGATGAGAGATAGACATCGATCAGCTGCCTCTTGCACACCCCCTATTGGGGATATGTCCGCAACCAAGGTACATGTCCTTGACTGGAATCGAACCCGGGACCTTTCAATCCCCAAGCCGACGCTCTATCCATTGAGCCAAACCGGTCTTGGCTAACGTACACATAACTTCTAAACAGTAGTTAAAGAGGAAGCCTCGTGGAAGTCAAACGACAGTCATTCAATTATTCCTGCTTAATATTTTTCCTTAATATGAAAATTACGTTTACATACTTTTTTTCTTTTCTTCATTATGGAAAGGCTCGCCTTGTATTTCCATAGCTACAGAGATACTGTTACTCTGAAAAATGCCTATAATTTCATAGCAAGGAGAGAATAAATAAACTGATAATTTAAAGCACCAGACTAGGGCCTGGGAGAAGGAAGCCATGCCCGTTACGATCGACAGCCAGGCGAGGACCAGTGAGCGGAAACAGACTGGCAGGTACCACAGTAATGGCGATAGTGATGGTGACGGCAGGCGAGCAAGGCTCCAATCCAATCAGAGAAGCCTTCTGCACGGTTCCTGACTGTTAGCTTATTACATAAGAAATGGACTTTTGAACATGTACTTACTTTCCAAATGAGTAAGTCAAATAGAACACAGATTCTTAAATAACCTTTTTTTTTTTTTTTTAAAGAAATCTTTTAATATATTGAAGTCTATAAGTCTAACCAACTGTTGTTTCCAGTAAGATAATTTAACCAGCGACGGGTTGAGGGAAGAGCTCGGTTTGGCTGACAGCAGGTCAGAAACCTTTGGTCATTGTCTTCCTTTTGGCCCCGCTCTGATCCCGGGACAAATGACTGCGGGCCGAGGGGGCAGAAGGCCCCAAAGGGCACGGACTGAGCTACTTCAAACGTCAGTGGGACCGGAAGGGCTGTGAGAGGGGCCAGTGGCCGCTCTTCTCCTACCTCTGGCCACCGTATCTCCTTTGGGAAGGAGGGTCTGGTTGAAACTCGTAGAATCAGAGATGCCTCCTTTATGAGCACAATACTCCCCCCCCCCCCCCCCCCCGGTTCTCTGTGTTTTTTTCTGCGATTATTTCCTGTCTTTACATCTTCCTATGTTTTCTTCTACTTCATTACATGTTGCCTCACCATCAATTGCCTCATCAGAACTTCCCGATTTTGTGTCAAACTTCTCTCTCAGCTCTTGGCCCACTCTAAACGATCATGAAGCCTCAAATAAAAAGCAATAAATTCCTCCCATACCAGAGCAAAAACAAACAAAAGCCCCACCTTTTTGGACTAAAAGCTGCAGAAGTCACATTCTTGTGTCAGTGCTGAACTTTTAAGCCTAAGAAAAGTATCCGAGACCCACTTTCCCGCTATTTCAACGTCAAGCTTACATCTAGGTTAAACTACAATCTATTCCCACTCTCCCTCATAGTATATACCTCGTATACAAAATAAAGGTCCTATACAGTTGAATGTAAATGCCGTTTCAACTGATCATTTGACTTTCAGTTGTTTTTTAACAGAAACACACACACACACACACACACACACACACACACACTCACACTCACACTCACACACACAATGACAACACAGGGTAACTATTTGTGGACTGTATGAATAAATATAGAGATTGTCAAACAACCGAACACAAAGAAAGTGCAATGTTTTATACCACTCAACACTGGTTACAACCCTCTTGGGAGCAAAGTATCCAACGAGAGCAAGGGTGGGTGAACAAATGAGCCAGACCAGGCTGGCATCTCCTATGCTATGCTTTCAAGTCACATGGTACTTTTCCATCAAGGCAAGCTTTGTAATTGCAACTAATTATTATTTCATTTGTTCAGCCCTGTCACTCCTTCCCACTGCACATTCACAGCAAACGAGGAGGGACCCCCGTTAATATGCACCCTGGGGCCAGCCACGGAGTAGAAACCCAATACATATTTACCGAGTAACTGTAATGTTACGTTGTCAAACACACCGAATAAGGTAGTGAGTAAGAGAGTCAGTTAGAGAACACACAACTTCACCCAACAGGAAAATGTTAGAAGAATTTGTCCACTTAGAGCAGCATCAGAGAGGAAAGGTGAATTCTGCCTTAGTGCTTCTCATGCTACAAAATCTTTGAGACCAGCCGAAACCGGTTTGGCTCAGTGGATAGAGTGTCGGTCTGTGGACTGAAAGGTCCCAGGGGCATGTACATTGGTTGCGGGCACATCCCCGGTAGGGAGTGTGCAAGAGGCAGCTGGCCGATGTTTCTCTCTCATCGACGTTCCTAGCTCTCTATCCCTCTCTCCTCCTCTCTGTAAAAAAAATCAATAAAATATATTAAAAAAACAAAAACAACCCCTCCCCCCCCCCACAAAGTCTTTGAGACCAAATAGCTTTCAGAGCTCAAAGGGGCAGTGAGCCAACACTCCTGCTTTTCCACATGTTGGAGAAATGGACGGTTGTTACTCCTGGTCGAGTTTTACACCGTTCCGCTCGGGCTTTATTATCTTTCCAGCAAATACCTGCCACCGTCTCTTTGGAAGTCTTCCCAGTAGGTAACTGGAACAGGATCCAACTGAATAAAAAGCAAGTAGTAGCTCCATATGCCTATTCAGAGTGTATGGAGATTTCATTAACAATGGCCTTGCCCCTCCTAGCCGGTGTGTCTAAGTAGGGTGTCGAACTCAATCAGAGAAGGGGCCAAAATCTAAAATCCAGCCTAAATCGCGGGCCGAATGGTTTACTGAACAGGCATAAACTGTCATTGTGATGGAAACGCAGCGGAGTGCAGTGATGACAGCGCGGTGCGGGCCACATTGCAAGGCCTGGAGGGACGGATTTGGCCTGCGGGCCTTGTGTTTGACACATGTGGAGCATTGCCCTTGCACCAAAGGGTCTCAGGTTCGGTTCCCAGTCGAGGGCGCACAGCTCAGTCGCAGGCTTGTTCCCTGGACTGTGGTTGGGGTACATTCAGGAGGCAACCAGTTGATGTGTCTCTCTCCCGTTGATGTTTCTCTCTGTCTGTCTCTCTTCCTTCCACCTCTCTCTCTTAAAAAAAAAAAAAAAAAAAAAAAAGATCAATGAAAAAAATATTCTCAGGTATTAACAACAACAACGAAAACAAGCCTTTACCTTAAAATTGCATTTCTGTGTATATGCCGATGTTCAAAAACCTTAAAGCATTTATTTTAATAAAGTTTAAAGGCTTCTTCTGAATGTCCTACAATTAAACTCATTATGGAATCAATTATTTAAATACCACATATTCTCCTGTAGTCTTATTATTGTCTGTTTTAGGTTTGTAATTTTTTTAAATTAATAAACCTTATTTTTAGAGCAGTTTTTGACTTATAGGTGTTTATAAATTGTAAAGAGAAAAGTGCAATAAATTAAGTTCTACCAGAGAAATATATTAAAAATGTCAAAGGCTAACATTTATCATATTAGTACAACACAGTTAAAACAGTTAATTATTTATAAATATTAGCAATTAAAAATCATTTAAATATGATCTTTGTGCTCATAAATCAAATTTCTATTTCTATATTAAATTGCAAAATGACATTTTGAAACGCAGAATGAAAAATTCTTGTAACAATCCTATTAACTATAGTGAGTGACAACCAGGTTATAAGGAATACCATCCAATAACTATTTCAATATAATATCATTCCATAAGGCTCAAATTCCAAAATCGCCATTATAGTTTGTAAAATCAAGATCAGCCGGGTCCAGGGAATCATGCACCTTTCCATTTTTTTCTGTGTTGCACACTTTCATCTTGACTTTTGCGTATAAGAACCCCCTAGTATTCAAACATAAATGAGACTTCACCCGCTTGCCTATAACTTATTTGCTGTAAAAGAAACACCCCATTTCATGCCTTTGTTTGTTAGTGAAGTAGAAGATACACTATTATTTCCATGATACCAGGGAGTTCATGTTTAATTATCAACACCCATTTGAAAAAAAAAAAAAAAAAGACATTGCTTCGACTCGCGGATGTCTTAATTGCTAACAGAGGCTTTCCAGCGGAGGAGCAACTGCGGCTAATTTACTTTGGGAGGTGTGGCTTGGTGACTGGATGTTAAACTAGCAAAGCATTGAGTCTCTTCACTGTCAGCAGGAAATCCCTCCAGCCCTGCTGCTGCTGCCGGAGAAGGCTGGTGCTGGAAGCGTTAGCGGGGAAATAAGACTGCAGGGAGGACACGGGTAACACCGGTCAAGGCTGCTTACAAACTGAAAAAGAAGCGAGGCTGTCAGCAATAAAAACAGGTTATCCGCGCAGAACACGAGGCATGGTCATCTTCACCACTGGATCTTGCTGGGACTGACAATGACCCGGGCTGGCTCCAGCTGGAGAGAGCTACAGGGAAGCAAACAGCGTCCAGGCCAGAGCATCTTCACGAAGGACCAGCGGCCGGCCATCAGGGGGACCACGGCTCAGCCCCCCCTCCCCCTCCCCCTGAGGAAGAAAGACAGTCAAGCATTGAAGCAGGTTCATCCCTGCAAACCAAAGTCATGGTTCCATGTGCCCCTTTCCCCCTGCAACAGGCCCTGGTGCGCACCTGTCACCGCGGTAACATCATGAGCGAGAGAAAAAGCATGTGCAATGGTCACGACCGCTCAGAGCTGAATCCAAAGTAACGGAAAGAGGCCTACCGGTCTGGCTGAGCTGGGAGGCGCTGCGGCTCTTCCGGGAGAGACCCACAATAGCTACCATTTTGGCCCCGATGCTGGAGCGGCGCTTGTGGGGGCCCAGGGCTTGTGGGGGCGCGCTGCCCGCGCCCCTCTCCAGCGAGCAGAGGTCGCCGCTGATGCTGGTGCTCTTGGTCATGTTCTTCCCCGCCGCGCCCGCCTGGCGGCTCTGCATTTTGGACGTAAAGACACTGCAGGCCGGTGGGGGGGTGGGTCGGTAAGGGTGAGGACCGGAGGAAAAGGGAAAAGACAGAAAAGGCAGTTTAGAGGAAACGTCTGAGACCGAATGCAATGCTATCCTAGTTTATGGGGCCTATGACACTATGTCAGATGGTCACAATAAGGTCATGAATGGGCCTTCCTATTCAGGGTCGAACCGGAACATGAATATGGAAAACGGACTCATCATTTCATGCCTGGTGTCAAAGAAGACGCCGGTTTGCATGGCCGGAGGAAGAAAAAAATTCATGGGAAGCCGAAGCCGGTTTGGCTCAGTGGATAGAGCGTTGGCCTGCGGACTGAAAGGTCCCAAGTTCGATTCCGGTCAAGGGCATGTACCTTGGTTGTGGGCACATCCCCAGTGGGGGGTGTGCAGGAAGCAGCTGGTCGATGTTTCTCTCTCATCGATGTTTCTAGCTCTCTATCTATCTCTCCCTTCCTCTCTGTAAAAAAATCAATAAAATGTATTTAAAGAAAAAAAAAAATTCATGGGAAATCGGTGGGCTGTCCTGCACGTGGAGATAGGCCTTGAGGGTGTTTCCACAGCACTGCCCTCCTGCTGACTCACTGCTGCCTTCAAAAAGAAATGCGATTGGAGAGGGAAAATTTCACCAAAAATGGCAAAATCACAGCACCCATTGCTAAGAGTGGCCCTTTCAAACAAGTTTTTTTTTCTTTTTACTTTTATGAAAAACCTAATGAAGTTGATCTAGCAGTAGCGAAATTTTCTAACAGGGATCGATGTTTTCATTAGCTTTGAGTTAAAAATCATTTATGCCACTTCATAGAGTTTCATATTTATTGGCATAAGTCTATATTTTTTTTTAAAAAAAGATTGTCCTCTTGTATTCATTTGGCAAAGAAACATCATCATCCTTTTTCTAGCCGGTGGTCAGAAAGCAATCAGTGAGTGCAGGAGGCGGCGGTGAGCTGACTGCTGATCTGCGGGCCTGGATGGAAGTGACCAGAGAGAGGTCCTGGGTTCTCTCCTGATAGCTGCCTGGGCAGGCGGTGGAGGCAGGAGGTAAAGAATGTGGGAGCAGGCTTTCCATGTAGCCCCATAAACCTGGGAGAATGTGAAGGAAGCAGCCCGATTGGCAGAAATAGGAAGACTCATTTATGTATCACCCGTTTTTGGCTAAGTATGAGAAAGTTTACTTTGATTCTGATCAATCGGAGCATATAACACCTAATTATAGAAACAAAATTAAAAATAGAAAACATGAGAAGTAAACGTATACATCATTTAAAGCATGAAAATAAAGAAACTGACCCACTGAGGTGAGCTCTAATCTCTATTCAATTTCTTGGTGTTAGTGAAGAAAATGGTTTTCTCTATCCTAAAGTCTGCTAAAAGCAGCTTGTCAATTTTATTAATGTATATACATTTTCTCCAAAGATTTAAGAGGAAAAAGGCTCAATACGAAATTTAAAAAAATACAGTAAAGTGTATAATTTTAACCATCACATTAGTTTCAACAAGAAATGAGGCATAAAGAGAAAGAGAGAGAAGCAAGCGAAGAGAACAGTATATATGCTTCTATAAAACCCAAATCGATCCTTTCCAAGCTTGTTTGATTTTGCTATTCTTTAATAAGCAACAAAAACAAAACATTTTAGAGGCATATAGACATGGGCTTGAATCTCAGCTTCGATTTTTTTTTTTTGAGTTAACTGCTCTACTCTGAGCCTCCACTTCCTCTAATTTATAAAATTAGAATTTTCCTTCCTTATTTTCAATAATAGAGATAATATGTCTGAAGTAAACATTCAATAAATGGAAATTATGGTAATTATCATTGGGGATATGGGCAACAGATAAAATAAGGTTAAACATGTATTATATAAATACATATCAGCATCGATAGAAATAGTATTTGCAACTATAAACTTAAAGTGAAATGTTTTGAGATGAAAATGTCTAAAACTGTTTTCATGCAGCCAGCATTATATAAGGGCAAGCAAACTACACTAGGAGTCCTGGATTCTGGTTTGTACTTTGGCGTTAGAGACTGATCTTGGGAGTGTTGTTTCCCTTTATGGAGTTTGGTTCCCTTGCTTAACAAGTAAGAAAACCCAAGTAAGCACTAAGCAGGATGCCAGACATATGAGTTCCCAAAACTATTCTCTTCTTCTTTCTCAATATCGCCATCATCACCACCCTCCTCCACTAAGCATCTATTAAGCATCATGAACTGGAATATCTGTAAGGTCCCCTTTAACTAGTGAATGCTTTGCTACTCTAGGTATCTCCTGTTCCAGGGACTCTGAGGAAATACACAGAATGCAACGTAAGATTTTCCTAGTACTCTGCCCTCATGGCATAGAAAAAGCTAAGTTTTTGGTTGAGCAAAGGCCTTGAAAACAATAACATGGGCCCATAGTCACAGTAACCTAGAGTTCCTGTTATGTAAGAACTTGTACCCCAAACATACATTTCTAGAAACCCACCTACTTATCTATCAGGGAAGTCAAGGATATACTCACAACATATGGCTTACTGGACCATGTCATTTTTGCATTTTAATTTTCATGGTTCGATATAAAGGGCACAAAAAACTTGGCCAAAACCAAACGGATACAATAAAATACTAAATGGGAATGATAAATCAGCGTGTAGGATGATCTTTTAATTACCATTTGGTTTTAAGGAAGTATACCTCTCTTTAACCTAGCAATTTGGATAATGCTTTAGTAGCTACAAGAAAGGGTTGTTAGAAGTTTTGTTCAGATGGCTCTACTTTTCCTCTCCTTGGGACTTTGAGATCGCCAGGGATGAGGTTATAAACAGCTGTGCTGGAATGCTGTTCTGAGGGAGGGAGACTGATCTGAGGGCATCACTATGGGCTTATTTTACTGTCCTCAGGGGATGTCACCGAAACCTAACGCAAACAAGCCATCAACCCCACATCTTAAAGTTCCCGGGCTCTTGACTTATAGGATACTTCTATAACACCCCAAGACTCTGCAAACACGGGTGTCATTTGGAATGCGCACTGTGCTTATTAAAGCAAAGACCCATGACATCACCCATTACTTTAAAAGACAGCATTTGAAAGGGTCCAGTAACAGAATACATTTCCAATGTTGCTGGTGGTCCATTGACAGGTTTCCGAGGGGCTATTTGGCAAATGTATTAAAAAAAAAAAAAAAAACCTTAAAAAAAATAAGCCGACTTTTTAACCTACCGATTCTATTTTAGGTATTGATCCTAAGGAAAATCTTCGCAATGTGTTCAGAGTTAGCAAGAATGAGATTTATGGAGAACTGATTACGATAGTAAAATAAACACACAAGGGAAAACCCCATAAGCATTCAACTATAAAGGGTGTCTTGAATAAGTTATGTTCATCAATAAAATAGAATGTACCTTTGAAAATGCTGTTGTAAATAAAGATTTATGGACAAAAAAAATATGTTCCTGACACGGAGAAAGGGATTAAGGCGATGGCTATAAGCGAGTGATAGAAGGGCAGGTAGCAATACACAGTGTGGGTTTGCTGGCTCCTGTTCTGGGCAGGACAGAGCAGGAAGACACAAAGCTTCCTCATGCTACTCACAATGGCACAGAGCTTAAGACATATGAATTGGTTTATTTCTGGAATTTTCCATTTGATATTTTCAGACTCCAGGGAACAAACAGTGACAGTGAAACTGTGGATAAGGAGGCTGGGGGGCGGGTGGCTCCTATATAATGCTTCTAGTTTTCAAATTCTCTTAGGCTTAGGACACAGTCTCTCACAGAAAAAGTGTTATACTTGATTCTTTGGTATATAAGCAAAAAAATATGACAATTTACCTAGAGGTAAAACCTAAATTCAGGTTCTAAGCAAGTCAGACATGGGTTTCTATCCTATTTCTGTCATTTGAGAGTTCATGACCTTGATAATACTGCTTTACCTGTTTCTGAGCATTCGTGTTCTCATATGTTTATTATGTACCTTTCCATTTGAATGTAAGCTTCATGGGGCAAGAACATGGCTTCTTTTGTTCACTGTGAAATCCCAGGTTTTAAAATAATGCCTGCCACATGGTAAGGGTACAGTACTCATTGAATCAATGAGTTAATTAATCTAACAAAATCATAACTTTCCCAAGGTTGTGGTGAGGAATAAATGGAAAAAAAAAAAAGAAACATGTAAATATAACATTTAGCACATGCTAAATGTTAGCTCTTATTATTATGTATGTTTACAATTACATGGGACTTTGAGGCTTTCGTAAAAATAAACACTTAAACTTGCTAGATTTATTCGAAGCAGCTACTTGACATAAGCAGAGAAGTCAGTGGCCTCAACAAAATGGTCCTTCAGACTTCAGACATAAGTGAATAATTAAGATACAGTTGATCATTTCAAACTTGAAAAGTTGTATTTCAATGAAAATGTTTTTTTGAGATGATCTTGTTACACAGATGATTAATAATTAATAATGCATATACATTATTAATCTAATAAGTAAGTTAAACAGACATTTATTATCTACAGATACTGTAGTAAGTGCTGAATAAAACAGCTATACAGTAAAAAAACAAAACAAAACAAAACAAAACACAAAAAACAGCTATACACTTTTGGCACTAAATGATATGCCATACACAATCCGGGCAAATAAACTCACTCTGAGTTCATTGGGAAGTTCTCTGTATGTTACAGATCACCCTCCTGAAAACACTCCCAAACTTACACTTTCCTATAATGTAAGCCCCTTTCTGCCTGGAAAGAATGCTAGGTTAAGTGCTGTATTATTGCTTTCGCACTTATAAGAAGACTGGATGAAAATGCTCTGTGAGGTTAGAGACAGAATGACAGCCAATGAAGAGGCCATCAAAAAGGAATGGTGCCTTAACCTGGACACACTGTAGCCAGTGTGTTCACATGAAACATTACAGTAATATTTTCTCAAGTTTGTGTTGAAAACTAACAGCAATGATATTCAAGGCTATTATGACTTCCATTACCATTAGCCACTT